CTCCCTTATGTTACTTATTACATATAGTTTTGGATTAACTTTGATGTGTGTGTGTGCACGCACTTGTTGTTGTTAATTGTAAAGTCTGATATAATCTGACTCAAGCCTAACAATATCTGGGAAGTTGCCTTTTCTATTTTCAAAAGCCTTTTTCTGATTGGAAGTCTTCACATACATGTCCCTTATTTACTTTCTTCAGTGTGTAGTAATAAGTACATCCAACTTAAATCTCTCTCACTGCATTTTAGGTTACTTTACATTTGCAATGATCAATAGTTTCTCATTGCATTTTAAGCTGCTTTGCATTTGCAATGATCTCAGTGGTGCTAGAGGAGAGATGTTTAGCCTTAGTGCATGCTTCAAGGCCATTATCAGGTCAACTTTTCTCCCTACAATTCATTTCTTGGACCATATAATCCCACCACTTTAACTTAACCCAATCAACAACCAATTGCTTAATGCTATAAATTCTCCCAGACATAGAGAATAGTGGTAGGTTTAAAGAACAATTTCATGTACTCCAAATAGAACTATAGTTGGGGTCTCTCTTCCAAATGAGCTATGACAGTTGATGTCACTGCCTTTGACAGTGTAATATTTATACCAGTGATAGATATTTCCAAAATCACAATAATGTATTAACAGTTGATAAAAGTCCTGTCATTTGGGTAAGATATTTATATAGGAAAGAGATAAATTATTTAGAGAGTAAGAGTAAGAAGAGTAAGGAGTAAAGAATTATATAGAAGGATCCAGGTCAACTGAAAAGAAACACTGCTCTGTACAGAAAAATCCTCCAGGCTTGAAGGATGCTAATATGGCTGACAGATTTCAGAAATGAATGCTGCAAGCAGAAGCATGAGACCTGTGGAAACTTGAACTAGATATCTCATTCTACTACTGCAGCATTCTCTGAGTGAATTTTGGTCCCTTGAAAACAGCTCTACTGGATGCCAGAGCCTGCTGTCTTACATAAGGAGCTGCCTTTTGGAAGAACTGGGTTTGATTCAAGAGATTCGAAGCTCGGGTACCTGTGGGTTACAAGTGAGAACTCCTAGGTTTACTGTAAGATTATAACGGTCTCCAGGGAAGACATTCATCTCCACTCCTTTTACATGCACCTACAAGGCCTGGTGTTACACTCCGCACAAAGGTGTGCTTGTTGAGGAGCTGCCTGCATGGAAATAAGGGAGTATTTCAGAGCTGCCCACTGCCCTCTCTGTAATGTAGAGCTGTGCTTTCAGGGCTGTTCTTGGTAGGTGTTGTAGTAGTGTCAGCACAGGTAATGTGTCCCTGGTGGGTTTGGTTTAATTCTTTCTGATCAAACTTCTACTGTAACATGGAGATATTACCCTGAAAACAATCCAGTATTTCCTTAGAATTAACTACCTTCCACTCAAATGACTGTGGATGGTTAACTGCTTAGTCTAAATGGAGAATCCGGCTTCTGGAGCTTAAAGCCAGCAATATTTTTAAGACCCTTCCAGCCATTACAAATTGAGTAAGTAGCATTCCAAATTAATTCTTTGGGTGACCTGGGCTTGAACTAGCCCAACTCCCACAGTGCAAAAGGAGGTGACTATGGCTACCAGCTGCTGTCCTTATATTTCCAAAAAAGTCCCATAAACAGGCCCAAGGCAGGAAATGGGGATCAGAAGCCAGGGCAGACTTTTGGTAAGTGGCTCACTCACCTCTCCACCATGTGTGTCTGGTCCAGAGAAAGCCCGTCAATGGCTGTGCACTCTGGACACTTGAATTTCTTCCGCGGTGTCACCTACCAGAGGAACACAAAAATACCTGGCTATCAGCACCCAGGACAATAAAACCATGCTGTGACACCACTCTGCATGCTTCTGTTCTGTAAGTGGAGATGCCTGTTCCCTCCATACACACACTCACACACCTCACCATTTCTCCATTCAATTTTGTCTGGCTCGGCCAACGGCAAACTCACAAGGGCCCAATAAAAAAGGCTTGGAGGGCTTTTGCCTTCTGTAGCTGGAAAGAAGTGGTGATGACAAGCTCCTTAATTCCTGTTTAATGACTGTTTTCTCACTGCCAAGGTCCTTGTATAAACACCATTTGTTCTTGCAGCCATAAGGGCGATGAAATACAGCTTCCCATAACTTTCACCGTAACCTTAGTTCCAACAGGCGCTCTTTCTCCTTCTTCCAGCTCATGGCAAATGCTTTGAGCCGCACCAGGCTCTAGAAGATGCCAGGTTATTTTGCAATTCCCTTGAATCAGAAAAAAACAACCCAATGGTCCCTCAGCCTCTGAATCCTTTTCCCTGATTCTCCCTTACCCTCCCAAACCTTAAACTTCCAGTGCTTTTCTAGCACACTCAGGGGAAGCTACTATCCTAACTTAGTGAAGATAAGTAAACAGCAGAGAGACTGAGGGGGGGGGAAGCTAGATGACTAACTAGGTCAGATTAAGAAGCATAGGACACCAGGAATTACTGTCCAGAGTAAGCAGGCACAGCCAAAACATCTTGTCAAAAAGCAGATTTGGAGATAAACTTCCTTTAAAATGAATTTCACAATTCACATTCTTTCACTTTCCTTGCAGTGAGCTGTCCTGGAGTTATTTAGAGAGCCGGGGGAGAGGATGAGGATGGCAGGGTTAGAGAGCACCAGTAGTAACTCTTCCTCTTTCCTTAGTCACTGTGGTTTAATTTGGCTTCTCTCATCAATTAATAGTATGAGGAGTCAGCCAGGAATGTCATACTATATTTCCAATATAAGCTTCCAGTATCGGAAGATTCCAGCATCAGGAATCTGGCCTAGAAGTAGTGCCCATTGTCACACACAGAATTCTGACCCAGAATTAAAGAAGGTTGAGATGACTCCACTTATATAAAAAAGTGTGTGCTCTCTACATATCTAGGGATCTAATTTGAGAAAAATCTACATTTCAAGAATAGATATCTATCCTCAGGGGATCATTAATATATTATAGGAAAGGTAATTTTTAACATCCGGTAATCAATATTTAAAAACATCGTTTAGGGCAACTATAGTTATAATTTACAAAGTGTACTATCTTTTCAATGTCTATATATATATAAAAAAAGAATGGCTACCTTAAGATGTAAACTGTATCTTTTACCTAACAGAACTAGATTTCAAATCAGCTTTGAGATTAAAATTATTTTTTTAAAAAACATGATTTGTAGATGGACCATCACAGCCTTTACCTCTGATACTGAAGTTTAAAATCAGTAACCAAAGAAATTGCATAAAAAAAGAAAGTATGTTTAAATTACCAAAGCCTACCCTTCAATTTTACAAGGTGACAATGTTAATCATAGAATCTTAAAAAGTGAAAAGGGAGCTCCAAGTTCATCTAGTCCAATACTTCATTTCATCTAGTCCCATACTTCATCTAGTTATGAGAACGTCTCAGGCTCAGGGAAAAGAGACTTGCTCAAGATCATAGAGCAAGTCAGCGGCAGAGCTGGACCAGGATGCCTCCTACCTTGATGACAGCTTTCCCCGTGACATTAGCCACCAGGAAATTCATGGCAATGTCTTCACAGTTCATATGAGCGTCCACCCAGTTCTTGATGTCCCCAGGCATTTTGTAGGTATACAGGTAATTAAAATACTAGCAGGTGAAGAAACAAAAAGAAGAAACATTCAAATAGCAGTTCCCTCCTGCTGATACATAAAGTACAACTCAGTCAAGGTACGGGGACAGCTTTCTCTCATAAGATTAATCACAAGGCTGTATCCACAGGAAGGGCAAAGGAAGTATTAGAATGCTGTTGGCCAAGTGACCAAAATCTTAAATATTGTCACTCTTTTCAAAACATCCACTGAGAGCAGAGGAGAGGTACAACGTGAAGCCCTTGCAGGATGCAGGCCCATTGGACTGATGAAGTGTTTTACAAATATTGTTCAGAGACACACTGTACATTCATCTTTACTAAATCTTTCCCTGGAGTCACAATGCCCAATCCTGTTTTCTCTATTCTTTCCATAGATTGCAAAGGGAAACAGAGATAAATTAAAGTGGGTTGACATTGCAAAGGTATATACTTTTTACAGTAAAACAAAAATGAGGCAATTCTGAAACCACCATAACCTACCTACATATGAAATAGTATAGAAATTCATGTCCAAAAATAAAGTATATATAATCTACTACCACACACCCAGAAGCATGAGACCTGTGGAAACTTGAACTAGATATCTCATTCTACTACTGCAGCATTCTCTGAGTGAATTTTGGTCCCTTGAAAACAGCTCTACTGGATGCCAGAGCCTGCTGTCTTACATAAGGAGCTGCCTTTTGGAAGAACTGGGTTTGATTCAAGAGATTCGAAGCTCGGGTACCTGTGGGTTACAAGTGAGAACTCCTAGGTTTACTGTAAGATTATAACGGTCTCCAGGGAAGACATTCATCTCCACTCCTTTTACATGCACCTACAAGGCCTGGTGTTACACTCCGCACAAAGGTGTGCTTGTTGAGGAGCTGCCTGCATGGAAATAAGGGAGTATTTCAGAGCTGCCCACTGCCCTCTCTGTAATGTAGAGCTGTGCTTTCAGGGCTGTTCTTGGTAGGTGTTGTAGTAGTGTCAGCACAGGTAATGTGTCCCTGGTGGGTTTGGTTTAATTCTTTCTGATCAAACTTCTACTGTAACATGGAGATATTACCCTGAAAACAATCCAGTATTTCCTTAGAATTAACTACCTTCCACTCAAATGACTGTGGATGGTTAACTGCTTAGTCTAAATGGAGAATCCGGCTTCTGGAGCTTAAAGCCAGCAATATTTTTAAGACCCTTCCAGCCATTACAAATTGAGTAAGTAGCATTCCAAATTAATTCTTTGGGTGACCTGGGCTTGAACTAGCCCAACTCCCACAGTGCAAAAGGAGGTGACTATGGCTACCAGCTGCTGTCCTTATATTTCCAAAAAAGTCCCATAAACAGGCCCAAGGCAGGAAATGGGGATCAGAAGCCAGGGCAGACTTTTGGTAAGTGGCTCACTCACCTCTCCACCATGTGTGTCTGGTCCAGAGAAAGCCCGTCAATGGCTGTGCACTCTGGACACTTGAATTTCTTCCGCGGTGTCACCTACCAGAGGAACACAAAAATACCTGGCTATCAGCACCCAGGACAATAAAACCATGCTGTGACACCACTCTGCATGCTTCTGTTCTGTAAGTGGAGATGCCTGTTCCCTCCATACACACACTCACACACCTCACCATTTCTCCATTCAATTTTGTCTGGCTCGGCCAACGGCAAACTCACAAGGGCCCAATAAAAAAGGCTTGGAGGGCTTTTGCCTTCTGTAGCTGGAAAGAAGTGGTGATGACAAGCTCCTTAATTCCTGTTTAATGACTGTTTTCTCACTGCCAAGGTCCTTGTATAAACACCATTTGTTCTTGCAGCCATAAGGGCGATGAAATACAGCTTCCCATAACTTTCACCGTAACCTTAGTTCCAACAGGCGCTCTTTCTCCTTCTTCCAGCTCATGGCAAATGCTTTGAGCCGCACCAGGCTCTAGAAGATGCCAGGTTATTTTGCAATTCCCTTGAATCAGAAAAAAACAACCCAATGGTCCCTCAGCCTCTGAATCCTTTTCCCTGATTCTCCCTTACCCTCCCAAACCTTAAACTTCCAGTGCTTTTCTAGCACACTCAGGGGAAGCTACTATCCTAACTTAGTGAAGATAAGTAAACAGCAGAGAGACTGAGGGGGGGGGAAGCTAGATGACTAACTAGGTCAGATTAAGAAGCATAGGACACCAGGAATTACTGTCCAGAGTAAGCAGGCACAGCCAAAACATCTTGTCAAAAAGCAGATTTGGAGATAAACTTCCTTTAAAATGAATTTCACAATTCACATTCTTTCACTTTCCTTGCAGTGAGCTGTCCTGGAGTTATTTAGAGAGCCGGGGGAGAGGATGAGGATGGCAGGGTTAGAGAGCACCAGTAGTAACTCTTCCTCTTTCCTTAGTCACTGTGGTTTAATTTGGCTTCTCTCATCAATTAATAGTATGAGGAGTCAGCCAGGAATGTCATACTATATTTCCAATATAAGCTTCCAGTATCGGAAGATTCCAGCATCAGGAATCTGGCCTAGAAGTAGTGCCCATTGTCACACACAGAATTCTGACCCAGAATTAAAGAAGGTTGAGATGACTCCACTTATATAAAAAAGTGTGTGCTCTCTACATATCTAGGGATCTAATTTGAGAAAAATCTACATTTCAAGAATAGATATCTATCCTCAGGGGATCATTAATATATTATAGGAAAGGTAATTTTTAACATCCGGTAATCAATATTTAAAAACATCGTTTAGGGCAACTATAGTTATAATTTACAAAGTGTACTATCTTTTCAATGTCTATATATATATAAAAAAAGAATGGCTACCTTAAGATGTAAACTGTATCTTTTACCTAACAGAACTAGATTTCAAATCAGCTTTGAGATTAAAATTATTTTTTTAAAAAACATGATTTGTAGATGGACCATCACAGCCTTTACCTCTGATACTGAAGTTTAAAATCAGTAACCAAAGAAATTGCATAAAAAAAGAAAGTATGTTTAAATTACCAAAGCCTACCCTTCAATTTTACAAGGTGACAATGTTAATCATAGAATCTTAAAAAGTGAAAAGGGAGCTCCAAGTTCATCTAGTCCAATACTTCATTTCATCTAGTCCCATACTTCATCTAGTTATGAGAACGTCTCAGGCTCAGGGAAAAAAGACTTGCTCAAGATCATAGAGCAAGTCAGCGGCAGAGCTGGACCAGGATGCCTCCTACCTTGATGACAGCTTTCCCCGTGACATTAGCCACCAGGAAATTCATGGCAATGTCTTCACAGTTCATATGAGCGTCCACCCAGTTCTTGATGTCCCCAGGCATTTTGTAGGTATACAGGTAATTAAAATACTAGCAGGTGAAGAAACAAAAAGAAGAAACATTCAAATAGCAGTTCCCTCCTGCTGATACATAAAGTACAACTCAGTCAAGGTACGGGGACAGCTTTCTCTCATAAGATTAATCACAAGGCTGTATCCACAGGAAGGGCAAAGGAAGTATTAGAATGCTGTTGGCCAAGTGACCAAAATCTTAAATATTGTCACTCTTTTCAAAACATCCACTGAGAGCAGAGGAGAGGTACAACGTGAAGCCCTTGCAGGATGCAGGCCCATTGGACTGATGAAGTGTTTTACAAATATTGTTCAGAGACACACTGTACATTCATCTTTACTAAATCTTTCCCTGGAGTCACAATGCCCAATCCTGTTTTCTCTATTCTTTCCATAGATTGCAAAGGGAAACAGAGATAAATTAAAGTGGGTTGACATTGCAAAGGTATATACTTTTTACAGTAAAACAAAAATGAGGCAATTCTGAAACCACCATAACCTACCTACATATGAAATAGTATAGAAATTCACATCCAAAAATATAATCTACTACCACACACCTCCCAAATTATAAACCTTATTTATTATCTGTTGCTAAGAGCAAAAAACCTTTCTGCACCTAGAGCCCTGAAAACTACGAGGGCAGCAGCGCCAAGATAACGACAGCAATCAGTGCAGACACGGCCAAGCTACCGGAACTGCGCCGGCTAAACAGACCTTGCTCCTGCATCATGCCTTACGCCTCTGCTGACAGTGGACAGTTGTTACTATTTAACTAAACCATACACTTCCAGGGAACACTCTATTACCAAACCGAATATTCTGAAGTCCAATGCATACCCTTCAACCACTCCCTAATTAAGAGTCAAAAACATGAAGTGATAATTCTTAGACAAGGGAAATACAAAAGGCTCATAAATAAGCAAAAGGAATTTCAATCCCACTAATAATCAAATCAGTTAAAACACTGAGATCCATTTTCATGTGCATTTCATGCAAGGGAGGCTATGGTAAGATAGTTTTATATTTTGCTGGTGGGAGTGTCTACTGACACAAACAATACCGAAAGCAATAGACAAAAATATATATCAAAACCTTCCCAAAATGTTCAGTCCCTGTGATAGAATCTATCATAATGCTCAAAAGTATAAACAGTTATGAAAATGGATATTAATCATTATTTAAACATTAGATATTAAGCATTATTTAAAATAGCAAAAAAGTTAAAAACAATCTAAACAAGCAATGACAGAATAATAGTTACACATAATTTGTGGAATACCAATATAATGGTATATTAGCAATTCTGTTAAGAAAAAATTATGGAGGAATGTTAATGACATGAGAAAATGCTCACAACATAATACATAAAAATAGCAGGCTAATGCAAATATTTGTAATGGTATGTGTGTACATATGCATAACTAAGTAAATAAAAGACAAAGTGGGAAAACATCTAAACAACAATAATGTTTCTAAGTGATATACAAGAGACTTTTTTATATAATAAAATTGTTCTGAATTTTCCACATTTTCTATTATAAGCATTTATTATTTCACAAGTAGAAAAATAATAACTTTATTCTTTAAAAAGTATCATACAACATGGCCTTTCTAAGATCTCTGAGTAGAACATTATTCATAAACTCTGCAAAAATTAAATTGGGCCAAATAAAAAAGAGTATCATACTCTGTTTTGTCAACTCAGACCCACCTGCCCCAAGCCTGCCCTACACCTTACCTTGTGATAAAAAGCTGCTCCCGTAAGCACCATGGACACCTCATTGGTCCACTCGGACTCATACTTCCACTTACTCATCTCATGGTCCCAGAGATGCAGACGACCTGGGTAACCCACCAACCGGTCAGGAAACTCCCGCCAGACCTAAGGACAGAAGCACATCAACAGTCCATTCCCAGTTCACACACAGCCAAGCACAGAGAGTGAGTGTGAAGTAATCCAAACAGGTATCAACAAACAGACTCTGGAGGTTCAAATTTTCACAAACTAAGGTCAGAATGCGCTTCTGAAGATGTTTATTTGAACAGGTGCTAGCTCTTCTGCCAATATTCAAAGACAGATGTTGATTCTGATTTCTTCCAACACTTCCTGTGCTTGCTCAGCAATTTCAAATAATGTGGAGAAATAACTTACTGAATTGAGTCAAGGTAGGTAATCTCTTAACATATGATTAATGAAATAGGTACCATCATTAAAGAACATACAAATGAAGACTAAATGGAATCCTGCAACTAACTCAACTGTCCTGATTTATATTGAATTTTGGCAATTGTGAAAACTTGTAAAGTCTCTGTTTCTAAAAGAAATTAAAATTAAATTAAAAAGAAAACAAAAACCAAAAAACTATTTCTCCGGAGCACACAGCCAGCCATTCTTATGATCTTTTAGAAGCCATAATTTAAGTATAGGCAATTTGTCTGATTCTATAATCTGTGACATATTGAAAACAAAAATGTTCTTAGGTACAGTTCTGTTAAAAAGAATTTGGTAATTTGGGGATGAGGTACTTCCAATACCTTTCCCATGTATTTCTGTGTAATTTAGTTTAACCATTAATGAGTACTGACAATTTGCCCGCTATTCATGGGGCGCTGGCTTCTCAGCATTAGGATTCCTTACCCTTTACCAAACCTCTAGTCAGCAGAGTTCCTGAGGACCCAGCCCTGGGCCCTCTGATCTTCCTTAAACTCTCTAAGTAATCTCATCTAGCTTCAAACACTTTAAAAACCACCTATAATCTGACTAGAGGCCCAGTGCACAAAAATTTGTGCACTCGGGGGGGTCCCTCAGCCCAGCCTATGCCCTCTTGCAGTGTGGGACCCCTTGGAGGATGTCCACCCCAGTGGGGACCCTCAACCCATGGAGGTTTGTGGGGTGCCTGGCCAGCCTGGATGAGGGGCTGATGGCTGTTTGCATCTGGTCGCACCCCCTTCAGGGTGGGGGTCCCCACTGGGGTGCCTGGCCAGTCTGGGTGAGGGGCTGAGGGCCGTTTTCAGGCTGGCCAAGCAACCTGGCGACATAAGCTCCCAGCCTCTCCTTTTTTTCTTTTCTTTTTTTTTAATTCTGGGATTTATTTACCGTCTATAATTGAAACTTTGTTGCCTTTAGCAGAGGCTTGCGGAAAGCTTGGCTTACTCCATCGCCAGGGACAACCCACTCCTGCTCACTCCAGCTCCGTGGCCACAGCTGGCTGAAAGCAGGTATCTGGGGTTTGTTTACCTTCTATAATTGAAACTTTGTTGCTTTCAGTGGAGCTCAGAGCCAGCTCCTGCTCGCTCCAGTTCTGTGGCCATGGTGGCCATGGCTGGCTGAAAGCAGGTATGGTCACGGCTGGCTGAAAGCAGGTATCTGGGGTTTATTTACCTTCTATAATTGAAACTTTGTTGCTTTCAGTGGAGCTCAGAGCCGGGCCGCGGCAGGCGGGGAACCTTGGCTTCCTCCATCACTGGAGCAAGCAAGCCTCCTACTCGCTCCAGCTCTGTGGCTGCTGGCCGCCATCTTGGTTGGGTTAATTTGCATATAGTTGCTGATTGGCTGGTGGGCATGGCTTAAGGTGTAGCGAAAGTACGGTCAATTTGCATGTTTGTCTTTTATTAGTATAGGATGCCTTATAAATTTATGTTTGACCCTGAAAGTTCCTGAGATAACCAACTACTTAGTATCTTCAACTGAATAAACAATAGACACCTCAAACTTAACATGTCCAAAGCATAACTCTTGATTCCATATCTCCAGATAAGCCATTCTCTCAATCATCTCCATCTCAATAAACCATCTACCCACTGTCCAAGCCCAAGAGCTAGGAGTCAGCCTTTATTCCTTCCTTTTCTTTCTCCACTTTTCCCATATCCAACCCATTACAAATCCTCTGGCTCTACTTCTGACTACCTGTTACCATCTGTACTACCTCTCTCTACTTCAAACCACCCTCATCTCTCACCTGGACTGTCACAGGCTTCTTCCTTATCTCCTTGCTTCCACTCTTGCTCTTCCAAATTATTAAAGAGCATTCCTAAAAAGACCATTCCTAAAGTAATATGAGAGTATGCTGTACAGAATAATTCAACCAATGGCTCTATCCTTAATAGTTGTTCATATGGAAAATGCAATAATTAATAAATAATAATATAAGAACAAACTGTTTTGCATACTCACAACTGTAAACCTACTTTTGCCCCACCCTGTAGATATGTCCTATGGTCATATTGCTACAGCAACTGGAGGCTTCCCCAACTCCCAAGTGCCCCTGAGCCCCTGAGCAAGGGAGGATGCTCCTTGCTTTCCCAAACACAGAGCCAGTGAGCTAGCACTTCTCTTTTCTAGTTTGCTAGGACTGCTGTAACACAGTAACACAAACCAGTGGCTGAAAATAACAGGAACCTACAAGTCCAAGATCAAGGTGTTGGCAGGGCCATGCTCCCTCTGAAACCTGTGGGGGAGGGATCCTTCCCTGCCTCCTCTGAGTTCTGGTGGCTGGTTGTCAGTCTCTGGCATTCCTTTGCTTGTACATGCATCCCTCCAAACCTGTCTTCACGTGGCCTTCTTCCCTCCATGTCTCTGTAGCCAATTTTCCTTTTATAAGGATACCAGTCAAAATGGATTAGGGCCCACCCAATGACCTCAGTTTAACTGGATTACCTCTGAAAAGACCCTGTCCTATATAATAAAAGGCTAATATGCAAATGGACCAAACAGCGGAACGACCAGTCGCTATGACACGCGCTGACCACCAGGGGGCAGACGCTAATCGCAGGAGCTGCTCCCTGGTGGTCAGTGCACTCCCACAGGGGAAGCACCGCTCAGCCAGAAGCCGGGCTCACAGCTGGCCAGCAAAGCGGCAGCAGCACTAAGGCCCCCTCAGGGGTCCTGGACTGCAAGAGGACACAGGCCGGGCTGAGGGAACTTCCCCCACACCCAGTGCACAAATGTCATCCACTGGACCTCTAGTTTCCAAATAAAATTACTAAGAGTTAGAATTTCAACATACCTTTTTTTAGAGGGACACACTTCAACCCATAGCATCCCCCGAAAATCTTTAAATGTTTCACCCCAAAACAAAACAAAAAATGGCTTTCTGTTGACTAAGAACATCCAAACTGTTCAGCCTCTTCTAAAAGATCTGCCACTTTTCAACCTCTTCTTTCACCACCTCTCTCAGACTGCTGTGTGGCTTTCTGTTCCTTAACCACAACCGGACCTCAAGCCCTTTGTGCTTGCTCTTCCTTCTGACTGCAATGTTCTCCCAGCTCTTCAGAAGGCTGGCTCCTGCTCACCAGTCAGTTTTCTGCTTATGTACCTCCTATGAAAGGCATTTTCACACCTTCCTAAGGAAAACACTGTCCCCCAACCAGCCAGTCTTCATCACTTCCCCTCACCCCATGCTTTTCTTCACCAAACTATCATTTTTCAAAATTGTTCTGGTTATTTATTGTTTCTTATTTATTATCTATTTTCCTCCCACAGAATTTAAAGTCTGTGAGGACAGAGAATTTGTCTTATTCACTGTGGTGTCTGAAGCACAAAGAAAAGGGCCGGCACACGCCAGCATTCCATGCACACGTGTTGACTGCATGAACGGGCAGAATCTCAGCAGGCAATTGCTGAGAATGAAAGAACAGAACCAGAGAGCCTTTCTCTGTTCTTCACAGCCAGAGCCATTATATTCCTTAATTCAGAAAGGATGTCTGCAACAGTATTGATCAACCGGCACCATTAATAATAACGTGATATCCTTTGTGTGTGAAGATCACAGTAATAATTCACCATCACGAAAGCACATGGTTCAAATTGCTTTTCCAGAAGCGGGTAAAGGGAGATTTGCTGAGTCATTACACTCTCTTGCCCAGTCCTCCTTGTGATCATCTACTACATGCTTTTTATGTGATGTCTGCCCTGGGTCTTGAGCGTGGTCTGGAGCTGTGAAAAGAACTTTCCTTTGTGTAAAACCAGCTCACCTAACAGGCACTCAAACCCACAACCTTGGCCTCATTAACACCATGTTGTAACCAACAGAGTTAACTGGCCACAGGCATCATCCTAATAGCTGCAGACAAATGAATCCATGTCAAACATTTCCTCAGATGTGTAATGCTGCTGCTGTGTTCCCTACTCTGGGGTTTGTATTTCAGCAGATTAAAATAATATGATACTATTACAGTTTTATAGAGCCCAGAGCAACAACATAGTACGTGAGCCATAACTTCTGTTTGGTTTGTGGGCCTGGGCAGGCTCCATTAAAATGCACAGCCAGTTTCCTCTTCCCAGCACCCAGCACCTGTCTATGCAAGTCACACCAGCACAACACTCACTGATTCACCTCCATGGAATTAGAGAGATTTCTGAAGGGCTCCAAGCACAAGTAAGTAAACACCAGGATGGACGAGGTGGAGGAAAAGGGGTGAGGTGGGGCGAGAGGGAGGTACCCACTCAGTGGGAACCTCTGCTAGATGGAAGTTGCACCCCCATTTACTCTGAGTCAGCAGAGCTCTGTAATCCATGCAAAGGAAGTTGAAATCACTTTCCCAAGGGGTTCTTCTTTTCAAGCCCCGTTTCCAGCAATAACAGTAATACAGGCTCAGTTTTAGGGTCGAACGCTGTTAAGATTTCAGTCCTCTTCCTGTTAGCTGAAGCCACTTATCAGCATTCTCTCCAGAGAGACTTAATTGGTGACACTGGGTCGCAGAGTGCTAAACCGTGCTGCTCTGAAAGCATCGAGGTGTCCCCAGTTTCAGATTCCTTTGGAGCCTGTAGTGAGCGCTGCTCCTCACGTGGGGCCTCTCTGCCCTTGACTTATTCCAGGCAGCTGGATACAATCAAGATACCATCCTTGTCACTTCATCTATAACTCTGCAGCTGACTACAGG